ATGTATATGTGTATATATATATGTATATGTGTATATATATATGTATACAATAAGATATATATTTTTCATATGTTTAAAAAAAGAAAAGACGTCTGTTTAAGTGTGTGGGGGGGGAAATAACCAGGTCTATTTTGTATTAGTGTCTTTTTATTTTTATTTAATATCAAACATTACTGTAGTGTGATTGTGGGTAGATATCCATTTTCCTATCAGATTTAATTTGAGTGAATATTGAGGATTCTTGCTGCTGATTGGTTGTGAGAGGAGAGGGCGGGCCCACGGCTGTTGCTATGTCCCAGCAACCACTAGCAGTAGTGGAGGGGGGGGGGGGGGGTCTTCCTACCTTTAAAAACATGAGCACAGGTGCTTCATGACAAACCTTACTAGCATGTTTGGCTGCATCATATTCCTTTGGCACTGTATTTTGAATGAACGTTAATTTATTAAAAAACATACCAAAAACGTTCCTGAAACTGACTCACGGCTTCTTTTGTTTGGACAATAAACAATGACAAAGAAATGTTCATCTGTTTATATGTAGGATTTAATAATTAATCATTTAAATCTTTAAATTAAAATCCCTTTAATATCACAAATTCTTTAAGTTGGGGTTTCATGTCAGGTTAGATTTGTAACTGAATATCTGACATAATACTTAAAAACGTACCCTGCGTCATAAATATAGCAGCATGCTTATTACAACACTACATACACAAAGAAAAATAATAATCTTGAGTTAAAAGGGTTTTTCAGTTGCACATTGATAAGCTAACAGCAATTACTGTTGAAATGTAGGGATTTAAACAGTAATTAACGGTTGTAGAATTAATGTTTATGACCTATTATTAGTGGACAAACTTTGCAATTTAAAAACAAGAAGAATTATGAGGTGACATATATGTGACAAATCAGAAGACAAACAATACATTTATGTAAATAATCAATAGCTGGAGGCCTATTTTCAAATGTCAAATTTGGCGGAAACTTAACAGCCGCATTCAGTATAATGGTGCCTTCTGACCTTTTTTTTTTATTTACCAAAACTACTATTTTCAAAACTTAACTTCTATAAATATACGATTGTTTTCCAAAAAAAATAATAGTTTCTTCAACAAAAGAAGCTAAAAGTATTTTTTAAGAGAAATCGAGGACACTTAAAGAGCAGCTTGCAGGTTAGTTACCTCAATAAATCAGTGAGTCGGAAAATGATGTAGAAACCATATTTAAAATATTTGGCTTGATTCGTTTTTGTCAGGAAATTGTTATTTCCAAACCAAAGAAGACCAACCAGAAGAGCAGTGAGAAATATGAAGCTAAATATTAATTTTGACGCTTCAGAGATGGTAAATGTATATTAATACGCTAATAATGGACAGTTTTATTATAATGATAATATGTCAAAGAGACCAGCAACACATGAGGAACAGGAGAAATCACGGATAATGGTGAGAAATGTAGTTGTTAGTTGTCAAACGTAATAATTCACCATAATGACAAATGGTGAAATGAATTAAACTGCAGTCTCATAAACCCTCCAGCACCTACAGAGCCTTTCCTGTGTTATTGCATTACAACCTGGAATTTAAATAACATTTTAAATGGATATTTTTGTAATGGCCCATAACAAAATAGTCAAAATTGGGGAAGTGAAATAAAAAAAATGTAACAATGAAAAACAGAAATATTATACATGCATAATTCATTTAAATTAAACATTGGTATAATTTACTTCGACAGGGTAAATTAAAGCTATAAAGTCCCTAAATAAGATACTACCAATTACTACCGCATGTTGTGCCGAAATAACTTTCTTCGGTTACGTAAAAATATGAATGACTTTAAAAAAACTAACGTGTTTTTATTAGCATTGTTTAAAACGTTGTCTTGTAAAACATTAAAACCTGCATTAACTTTTCAGGAAAGGTTTGGTAAAAACGTTCTCTTTAAGGATTTGTTAAATGATTAATACAATTTAATTAAAATCAGCGTATGAATCAATGAAAACAATCATGTGTACTTGTGTTACTTTCTGCTGGCTCTCTGAGCTCTCGTGTCCCTGTGATGCTGCCGAATTGTCGAACAACACGTGGTTACATTTTTGTGCGGCCATGTGATGCCACCGCAACAACAACCCTCTCTACAAACACACACTTTGTTTGGCTGACCTACTTTTTTTAACCCAGACACATTTGTACCCAGAGGGATAAAAGAAACGTTCCTCTACATCACCATCTCCTAAAAATAAAAGACTGCGGTTTATTTTTTAAAGTTTTTTTTAATACAGCAATATAGTATAGCATCACTTCCTCTCAAATACAATAAAAGCATCTGTCAAGAAAATAGTCTGTGAATTTTTAATTCACAATACATTCATATCTGTTAAATACAAAAAAATAAATGAAAAAGCAGCTTTTAACAGCCGATATTTTTTATTTTTACTTAATCAAGAAATAAATAAAAAATTCCCGAAATGGCCAAAGAAGTTTTAAAAGTATGAAGAACCCAAAACAAAAGAAAATAAACCATTAAAACAGTTTTAAAGACATAAGGATGACACTCATTACAGCTGTAAAACTGGACTGGACAGAGCATGCTCACGAGATCCACTTTTAATCCAACTGTTGTTGAATATTTGAAGCACGGAGGGAAAAGATCCGGTAAGCAGCTCCAAAGATTAGTTATACGAGATAAAGATTCACATAAATAGAATATAATGGCTGCTTTGTGCAAACAGGGGTCCACAGATATAAGGACTTTTTCCAGTGCTGTCATGACAAAACATGGATATCTATGAGTTTATACACAAACAATTAAATAAGTTATCCGACTTTAAATGTACTAAATATAGTTCTCCTAACGTATAGTATAAAAAGGCCTGGGTGCCTGACGAACACACAGATGGGTGCAGGTTCCCTCATAGTTGGAGGTTTTTCATCACGTTGATCAGGGCACTAAATCAGGCATTAGGTACACAAGGAGTTACGTAATGACATTGTGGTTATTGCAGTAACGGCATTCAGATTTTGTAATTATGTTGGTGTAGTTTACCACACACGGAGAGAAACACGTTTAACAGGAAATGTAACAGTTGTTTTAAATTTTGAGTTTTCGAAATTTAATAATTGAACAAGAAAAATGCCAAACATTCTATGTTGCATGTTTCACAAAATGTCAGAATATGCAGCTTTTATATTTATTTACATCTTTAAAATTAATATCTTAGGGTGTTTCGACTGTTTAAGTCCAAGTGAAAAAAGCATAAATGAATATGTCTATGGATAAAACTGTCGGTCAAATATTTAAAATGAAGCGTGAATAGAAATATAAAGCTTTATATTTTTCCTTAAAGTAACGATACGTTGGTAAAAAAAAAGCACCACCAACCACTAAAATTATTTAGCTAACAATGTTAGCTGAAAACACATTTAGCTAAACACGTTAAGCACCGGCCTTTTAAGCTAGCTACCCCGCTAAAGCTAACGTTTGTGATAAAACTAATCTTCCCATTTCAGTTAATGTTAATCATCCATAATGTTGTAATGCTGCGTTCACACTACGAGCTACACAGCAATAGTCTGCTCGTTATATTCATGTTTCTTTTACAAATTCACAAGGATTATTATTAACGTTAGCCAAACAAAGTGCAAATGCTAACGTTGTACGGTCCAGATTTTTGGAGGCAAACGTTTAGAAACTTTGGCAATTGAAGCCACGTCCTGACAATAATATAGACAGCTGGCTAACGTTAGCCCTCCTGAATATTATTAAATATCATTAACAGTTTGATGGTTGGTTAGTTATCGATAACAAAGAAGCTCTATTACAATTAAATCGTCGTAGTGTGAACACAGCATAAGACAGAGAGTATTTTTAGCCAGCAAGCTAACACAAACGAAATTAGCTAGCTAGTAGTTTAAAGACACCGTGCTTATATCTTTATGTATTAAAAAACATGTTGGAAATATGGGCATTCTGTAAATGTGTATGATTTAATGTCTCTTTATGTCAAACAAGCTGTTAAATTTTAAAGAATTTAAGTAGAATTAGCTAGCTAAGTTTGTTAGCGTTTTCTTACCGGCTAAAATGCTTCGGCTAATTTATTTTTAACCCACTGATGATAACTTACTGAGGATCTTTGTTTACACTGAATTTAAATTATTTAGCTAACAATATTTTTTACCGATATATTTTTGACCATTTATTTTGCTCCATAGCTGTCAAATCGGAAATAGCACTGGACATTTTTTTTTTTTACTATTTTCTGACATTTACAAACTAATAATCGTTAAAATAAATGAAAATAATTGTTAGTTTCAACATTTCGTGAGTCAATCTAACTTTTTTTTCTACGTGAGAATTCATGCAGTTACCACATCAACCACAGTGTGATTACGTCACTGAACATGAACTGAATTTAAAATCTAAACCGAAATATCTTCAAGGTACCACAGCTCATGCTTTTTCTGTCAAATATTTTTTTGTCTGTGATTTATCCGTCAGCAAAATAGTCGGCTATATAGACAAACTCTAGAAATATGCAGCAAAAGAGTAGAACACCGCAAAACCCGAACGACGGCGTCCTTAGTGTCTCACAGGAAAGAAGCATCCAGCAAATGCAAAACAGGCGGTCAGACATTTTGCAGCCTGCTGAAAGATTTCTGGGTTTTTGATCAAAAGCGCCGGGCAGTCTCTGCCTCACAGTGGATATGGACTGTACGGGTATTATAACGGCAGCGCTGCCTTCCTGTCCAGTGTCGCACCGGGAGTCACCAAATTTGTTTCCTCCTTCATAAAAGCATCTCTCAAGTCCACTGAGCCCTCAGGCGTCATGGTAGCAAGAAGGGTCAGAGGACGAGGACAGAGTCTGGTGGGACTGGTGGTGGGTTTGGTTTCAGGGTAGGACCTCTTCGGCGGGCTCCGGAAGCTCATCGGTGGTCACCGCCGCAGGCTGGGCCAGTGTGGAGAACCAGGAGGACATGGCCGACTTAGCGCTGGTCAACGCTCCGCCCACGGACTGACCTGAGAACAGAGCGGGAGAACGGTAGAGACGCCACCAACAAAACAGGTAAATAAATGTTTATTTTACTCAGACGGTAACCTGCATTCTCTCGAATGTCCACCAGGGGGCGACTCCTCTGGTTGTATAGAAGTCTATGAGAAAATGACTACTTCTCTCTTGATTTATTACCTCAGTAAACATTGTAAACATGAGTTTATGGTCTCAATCTCTAGTTTTCTTCAATACAGCATGATGTTCATTTAGTACATTATGGTCCATTTAGAGTCAAACAGGTCAAGACACGGATCCCTTTCACCTTATTTACTGGACGCCATCTTGAATAACGTCTAATTTAGGGGCCTGTTTTCTGAGCTTTCTTACCCACTGCCTTCCCCGTCTGCACCACACTGCGACTGGTGGTCATCATGGCGTTCCCGATCTTCTTCCCTCTCTCGCTGTTCTGCATCGAGCTGCAGCGGACAATGAAGGAGAGGAGGATTCACAAACCACGTATGCAAACACAGAAATGCTGTTTCCTAAATGTTGCGGCCCGACCTGTGAAAAGGGGATTATGTCGGCAGAAGGTCGAGCAGCAGGTGTTGCATCAGATGATTCGAAGCTGACCCCAAGAAGCGGAAACGAGCGACGGGCTACGTTTCACAACAAATGCACGGCTAAAAACAGCAGTCTGGTGCGAGTCCCGAAGCGGAACCTTTCACATGCATCCCCCCCACCCCACCCCACCCACTGACATTCAGCAGGAATCTCACAGCAGCCTGGTTAAAAAAGACGGATGTGGATGCGTGTCAGCAGCTGTCACTGTGCTTTAACGCCTTCTAACGAGCCAAATTATTTAATCTGGACAATTGAAAGGAGAAAATATAGTAAAGACTGCAGAGATCAGCTTCAACATGCCGTCGCCTTCTTGATAACGAGTTAATCTGAAAGATTGTAAAAAGGAAACCCGAAACCAAAGTGTGTGACGGATACGGTGTTTTATCAGACTATGTGACACAGAGCGTATAAATTACTATTTTTAATAATATATCACATATATAATTTTTTTAATTATATTGTGTGTATATATATATATATATTTATTTTTTTTATATTTTTGTATATTTATATATATATTTATATATATATATATTATTTATATTAGGATATATACTATATATATATATTGTATATATTATAATGGTATTGGAATTTATTAGATTTAATATTAAATATTATATTTTACATGCATTATTCAACATGATCAAAGAAACACCAGAATGGGTCTCTAACTTCTACTTAAGATCTCAATATATGTAAATTAAATGTGTTTGAATTAAAGCAGAGGAATCTAGAACCTTGATTTAAATGTCCTGCACGTGCAGCAACATGGGAAGAAATGTTCATAACTCTGTAGCTGTTGAGGTTTTGGGTGGAATAAATGGAAACAAAAATCTGTTTTCAGATGCCACCAAGTCGCCGAAAAAGCTTCCAAGAATCCGTAACAGAAAGCAGCATTTCCCCCGAGCCACCGTGTACGCTCGGAGAGGACACGCTGACTCTCCGTCTCGCTGGCTGACCCAAATAAACAGCTCCTTATGCGGCGCACTGTGGTTCGCTGACAATAAAGAAAGATCCTCTCACAGCCAGCGTCTGCCTGCAGCTCGTCACATGACTCCTGTTTTCTGAGAACATCGCTGCCACCGGCTGCTCTTTGTCCGGCAACCGATGACGAGGACACACACACACACACACACACACCAGTGTTTCCATAATACACATGCAACACAGCACATTCACAAGGGAGTCGAGCGTAGGGCCTGTTTTATTTTTTATAAATAGAGAGAGTGGATGGACTCAACTTGCAAGCTTTTATTTTCTCGTCTGTCCCCCTCATCTTCTCTCTGATGGTCTCGTTTACTGATGGGGGTCACATAGAGGATCAGGACTAAACTGAGACTGGTTTCAGGACCGGGTAAAAGTTCCTCACAGTAACTTTGTGTGCACGAATCCATATTGTTTAACGGATCTTTAAGAGTTTTAAAAGAGTGTTGTGACAGGAAAAATCTCTCCTTCAAAGTAAAAGCACTGGTGTTTACCGGCAACATGTTGTTAAATGACTGAATAAGTCTTCTAAAAGAAAAGCTCTCACACGGCTCTCCAGAGCGGCTGAATCCCCGTCCTGTTTTAGAGCTCTGACACAAAGCCGAGGCAGGAAATGGGAAGTGTTTATTCCTGAGAAGACTCCGATGGCCGAGTGCCAAACTTCCTGCCTGCACCCCTCTTCTCCCTCCACCCTTCATCACCCCCCCTACACCACCACCCTTCATAGAGTGGAGAGCCAGCCATGCCCCTTCACCTCCTTCCTGGTCCCTGAACACACCACGATTTTTAAAAATCCACTCGTGACTCAAAGAATCTGAAGAATCAGCAACATTAAAACACAATTAAGGCAACTAACGATTATTTTATTGATTAATTGATGGTCTAATAAAAAGGTTATTAAACTAGTTTACAAGTGGCCAAGGTGACATCTTCACGTTCTTCTTTCCTTCTTTCTTACTTACCTTCTTCCCTTTCTACCCATCCTTCTTTGCTTCTGGCCTTCCTTTCTTCCTTTCCTTTCCTGCCGTCCTTCCTTCTTTCTTTTCTGTCCCTTTCCTTCTACGTCTGTGGGCTTCTGTCTGTCCTTCCTTACTACTTCCTTTCCTTCTTTCACCCTTTCCTTCCTGACGTTACTTTTTTCCTTCCTTTTGTCCTTCTTTCCATCCTTCCATCCCTCTAATCTTCCTTACTCCTTTGTTCTTCCTTCCTTATCTCCTTCCTATCCTTTTCCTTCTTTGCTTCTGTCCATCCTTCCTTCCTTGCTGTCCTTTTTCCTCCCTTCCATCCTTCTTTGCTTCCTTACTCCTTCCCTACTTTCTTACCTAAGTGACGTGTTTGTGTCATATTCTAAACTTAATTATTTGTGGCTCACTTTGTGGCTTTTTAAATCACATTTTATTACAGAATTGTATCTTTTCTTCCACTTATGATTTAAATGTCACCTCAGATAAACTAAACTAAAACCCAGTTTAAGGATTTTCTTCCACCGTTTGTTTGTTTACTGAAGATTTACGTCAAAGTTCACGGCGGCCAATGTCACCGAACACCCCGACGGTAAAGTGAGAGCATACAGCTAAGTTAGGGATGAAGACACTCAGCTGAGTGTGTGTGTGTGTGTGTGTGGGCATTTATCCGACACGTAACACTAGAAGCGGCGCTCCAGCTGTGGTCGGACTCAACTTTCATCCAAACTTCCTGGAACGAAACCAGAGCTGAAGCTCTGTTTTTCTTTTTTGCGAATGAAACTCGCTCATAATTAATGAGTTCAGCTGATACGAGGCTGTCACCACCAATCGCTGAAAACAAGAATAGTTTAGTTTCCGTTAGCTTAGAACGATACGTTTATATCTACTCCATGTTGCACCACCGTAATTCTACGGTAACCCAGAACGGACAAACCAAACACTGGCTCTAGATTTGCGTAGTTCTCTTACTTGCTTGACACACGGGAGAAGTTTCAGTTGGTTGCGATCTGCAATCTCACCACTAGATGGAGCCAAATCCCACGCACTGTCACTTTAAATTAATCTTTAATTACATATTTTCTTTACTGCTCAACTGTTTTTGCTTCCAATAAAGATATTGTTACACATATATTCTTTAAGTTTTTCCCATTATGTTCCTCCAGTTTTATTTTGGAGTAATGCTTAGAATTAACAGGAAGTAGGGAGAACAAAAACACATTTTTGCTCTTAAACAACTTAATCCTTGCTCTTAAATCAATACTTTGTGCGCACGAATCAACAGAACATGAAGTCAGACAATACTGTTGACATTTTAACAGCTGTTTTAAGGTTGCAAAAGAGTCTAGAATGTCTCCTTCAAAGTAAAAGCACAGGAGAAATGTTCTTAAAAGAATAAATAAAAAAGGAAAAACATGGTTGCATTCAGAGGTTTTACAGTAGATATTTTCATTGTCTTTTTTAAAAGGAGCACAACACTGTGAAATGTCTTTAAAGGTTCCTCCTGTCTCCACATGAGGGCAGCAACATGCATCTTTTGGTGAGCTCCATAAAAATAATGTGACCCAACGAGGTTTGACAGCTCTGCTGCTGACTCTGCATTTCACTGTGTTTGTTTTACGTCTGACATGTTGTTGTTTCTGATCTTCCGTGTCTCTAAAGTTGTTATGATTGTACAAAGCAGGCGATGAAAGAGTGAGAGAGGAATGAAAGAGAGTACTCACTGCGAGAGTCGTAGTTTCACGTCAGCAACACTGTACTGGCCCTGGAACGGGTGTCTACAGAAAGAGAATTTAATCGTATTAATTTATCTAAAAACATGATTATTTTAATAGATCCTCAATCAATAAACCCGTGAGATTATTCTCAATAACAAATGTCACAATATCGGCTGTGAAGATAGTTTTTGCAGCAATGCGTTTGCTTTAAACACCAATACTTTACCCATTTTACTTTGTATATTTAATATACATGTACAAAGATTTAATATACTTAATTCCCCGGTATTACTATTAGTAGTTTTGCCTCCATTTCATTTTCTCTGTTTTGGGATTCTTCGTTCACGGTGAAGACATGAAAGAAAACGTTTCCTTCAATAATTCAAAGTAAAAAAGGTGAATAACTGATACACAAATAGTCATTTTGTGGCGATAGTTCATGACATTTTATCTTAATTAACCTGTAAAAGGGTGGTTGAATGTATTATTGTTGTAGCAGGATGCTAATGTTGGCTTAGAAGCATAAATGGGGTTCTCTACAGCGGGTTAAGTATTTCTTTACAGAGCTGAAACAGATGACACTCTTGATGTTGCTGAGTAGAAATACTTTTTTAAGGTCCCGGCCTAAAATACGTCACTAAAGAGTTTTTTGTCCACCTACCCCGGCGTGATGGCGGCCATGGCGGGGTGCTTGTTGCTGAACCAAACCCGGTAGTTGTGGGAGATCTTCCAGGCCGTCACGAACGGAACGCCGTAATCGGCCAGCAGCCTCTCGTTGTCTGAAATAAACGGAGATGTTCGAGGTCAGTGAAACTAGATTTACTGTCATTTCCTCTAAAGAGTCGGCCGTCATTGTTAGAAAAAGTCCCTGAAGACGAGTCACAAGTATTTATATAGAATCAACTCATCGTGACTTCAATGAAGAAGTGACCCAGTGAATGACTGAGTCACTCAGTGAGTCTTCCCACCTTGCTGTAGCGCAGAGGACAGTAATGAGTGGAGGTAAAGGGTGAACTGCGCTCTGATCCACTCGTCTCCTCCCTCCCAGCCCGTCCCGTCCAGGAACACGTCGTCTCGGTTCTCCGTCACGTGTTTCAACAGGTAGTCGGCGAAGCGCAGGTCGGCCGTCGTCAGGCTCAGGATCTTCCGGAGCTCCGGGTCCTGGATGTGGACTCCACCTTCCTCCACCTGTAAAAAACACACAAAACATACAGTATTTACCGTCAGGAATATCCAACTTTTACTACTAAAAAAAGAAAATAAAGATGTTTTACCTCGACGATGGCATCGCTGAGGTGCCTCTGCTGGCGGAACAGGACGTTGGTCGCACCGGCGACAAAGCCGCGCACCGTCACATCCGACAGGAGGTGATGCTGCTGCAGAGCCATGTAGGGCAGACACAGGTAGCCCTGGCAAGGAAAGGGAAAAGGTCACTACGTGTACAACTGTGTACACACACACACACACACACACACACACACACACACACACACACACACACACACACACACACACACACACACACACCTGTCTAAGATATTTTAGGGGACGAAAATGAGAAAATTCACAGGGGGGAAAGTACGTAGAAAATAAAGTTTGGACAAAATCTAAATCACAAACAGAACCCTCTATCGTGAGTGTTACCTTAGTGAAGATGGGGAGCGGCAGGCCGTACTGGTCCTCCTCCAGACCGGACACCAGACCCTGGACCACCCCTCCCTGGCCGCCGGCGGGCTGCGGCTGCACCGTGATGGGCGTCCCCAGCTCGGAGTCGAAGACGTCCGGCAGCAGCAAATCCAACTCTTTCCCCTCGGCGGCCTCTTTGGGACTCTCCTCCAACACGCTGGGGTCCAGAGTCTCCCAGTCGCTCTCCGAGGACTCCGGAGAGCTGCGTGACGGCGGCTTGAGGAGGTGGTTGTCCCCCTCTGTGCTGTTCCCGGAGGACAGAGACTCCACGGCGGGTCCGGTCCCCTCCAGCTCCAGCTCGGTGTTGGCGATGTCGGTGACGGACACGGAGACGAACTCCTCGGTTCCGGAGACGCTCTCCACCAGAGTCAGGTCCTCCGTCAAGCTGCTCTTAGGCCGGTAGTGGGACGAGTCCACCAGGCCGTGCTCGATCATACCTGCAGGGATTAAAACGTTGAAAAGGTTTTTACTATTCACATATTTACTGATTTATCAGCGAGAAGAAATGAGACATTGTTTAAACTCGCCTGAATTAAATCAGATTTATTAAAACCTTGTGACCTTATAATGACATTTTTGTATTAATCAATACCCTGTTTTTTAAGACTTTTCACCCATTGTTTTTACAGTTTTTTTATCCGTACAGATGCATGAAAAACAGCTGTACATCCTAACACAAGGCCTCGTTTAAAGTGCAAGAGGAGAGAGTTTCTGACCTGGAAACAGTGATAGAACCGTCATCAGAGCTCCCACTAGTCTGTTGACAGGAGACACAAAGAAGAGGACCTGCAAACAACAACAACAACAAAAATCAAACTTATAGTGTCGTTTTGTTTCAAAAGTTCTGAATCGCTAGAAAACATGCGTTTGTTAATCGTACCTTCTTCTCTAGCAGAATAAGCTTGAAGAGGATGAGGACCTACGAAGGTAAAACACGAAAGAGTTATTTCATAACAACTATTACGCAACCAGCAGACACTTTAATGCTCGTCTGTACTTCTCTACCTTGTGTCGAAAGTGCAGAATTAAATCTCTTGGTGATAACCCTGAGGGGAGAAAGCAAACAGAGTATCAACAAATGAGGAATAACAACAATCACCACAAATATGGTCCGTTTATAGAATATCCGTTTCTCTGGAACAACAGATTATGAATCTTCTTACACCAACGGTGAGTATTTATGTGATGAAGGAAGATCTTCTCATGGAAGCCACAGATATTTTTTACAAAAAATAAATATCTGTGAAAGATTTACACATATTTGCAACACTTTGTCTTTTTCCAAAATACTATTTTGAGTTAAAATGCGTGAAATTGAAAATAAAAAACACAAACTAGTGTCAAAGTACATTATTATTAACCTATATGTACCGAAAAATGTCACTAATATTGTATTGCAGTATTTATTTGGAATTTTTTTAAATTGTATTTGACTATTTGTATATGTTTTATACCACACACTTATTATTTATTCCTATCAGGGTTTTTTTAATTTATTGTATTTTTTTAACTTTATTTAATTACATTTTTGTGTCCCACTTACAATTTTTGTAACATTTTATTTATTTATTAAGTATATGCAATAGATTCTGTTTTAATGTTATTAAAGGACTATTTAAAATGTAAATTTTGTACATAATTCTACAATATATAATGCAATACATGCAGAAAATACAAGTAAATGAGAAGAAAACAAGAAATATGTTCAAATATGTCACACAAAACATAACAAAAGTGAATAAAATAATCCTGCAAAGTGGATCCTTTGAGTGTGTTAAACATAAATAAGAATGTTTAAGTGTCCAGGTTTCAAGCAGTATTAATGGAAGAGCATTTCACAGTTGAGTTATCGTGCAGTTTAATCATTATTGCACATTAGTAACCACAATAAGTAATAAGTAACCACAAACTACGGGGTGAAATGAGTTCAAGGGACACACTGCAAAAGACTGCTTTATTATCCACTACTTATATATAAAAGTATATATATTTGTGCTTGTTGGACCCACCTAGATACACCTGTGATCCCTCCAGAGACGAGCCCCTCAGAGAGCCGTTCATGTGGTCGTACAGCTCCTGCACGGCGGGACGAGCAAACAGGAAGTCAAGAAGAGGCGATGACAGGAAAAAATAAATGGTTTCCGTCAAGATTATATATTCTCACCTTTAAAATCGAGATCTGTGAGAAGTCTTTCTCCTCGAAGTAGGCGTGTGTGATGAGCTGTAGTTTAGCTTGAAGCAGGCCGAAGAGAGGCTGGGAATCAACAAACAAAACGTGTGCGAGAGAGTCATTAAATGTTTCATCACACTCAACCATGACTCCCGTTTGTCCCAGAATCTTTAGGAAGGAAAACAGCTCATAATTCATCTCTTATATCTATTTCATGCTGCTGTGAAAACATCCCCTTTAAACAACTGACTTATTCAAGTTTCCCACCAAAACGCTTTGGGCTTTAACCTAAGTCAGCCAACACTTTTCCAAACGTATTTTTACAAAAACGTTACGAAACAAAACACGAGTACTTAACCGAAGTTACAGTCAGAATCTCTAATGGCTCATCCTGTCTCACAGCAGTCAAAATTTAAATCTGTGTGGAGACGCATGAAAGAGAACTTCTCTTTTTATGTGGTGAAGATGAAAGACTCACCACTCTGCTGAGGACGCACACGCTCTTCTGAACCGTCTCCCTCGTGACGTCGGCCTGTCGCACCTTCAGGGCCTGAAGACGGATTAAAAACAATATATATATATATATATAT